AGATTATTTTCTTATTCTTTTCCATTTTGCCTAGACTTATTATTTATGAGAGAATGAGTTTTTATGCTTCGTGTCACTCTACCCTTGAATTAAATTAACACCTGCTTAGACTGATTATTACAAGTAACATATAAATATTAGCATAGTTTTCTCCATTATAATCTTTCCACGGGACTAAACAAATATGATACCCTTGTAATACTTCCGGGTGAAATGCTACTATAGTATATCCGTGTGCTTGCGTATATGATTTGTAACCATAATATAACATAAATATTTCTGTTCCATTGCTGGGCATTATATTTCTAGTAATGTCGTTAAGAAATACCAACAGTGTGGGGGTGGCGACGGCGCCGGACATGGCTTCCCTGGCCAGATTTGGCCCCTTCCTGGGATGACGGTGGCAGCCAAGGAGGCGGGAAGGGAGATAGCAAGCGGCGGGGAAGGGGGAAGACAAGCGGCGGAGTGGAGCAGGAGCGACGGTGAGGCCAGATCCATGGCGGGCGCTGCCAGATCTGGAGGGGGCGAAGGTGGAGGAAGGGGAGAACGAGGTGGCAGGCGGCGGGGGCATAGGAGAGGTGGTGGTGGGGCAGCGGCGACTACGCTGGGAGCCACCAGAGCTGGCAATTGGCAGCCGTAGGAGCAACCAAGCAAGGGGCGCGAGATGGCGCCGGAGGCGCCGTCGCGACATGAGGAGGTGGTCGTGGCCTTAGACACGGCGGCGACATCCCTCACAGTTGGCAACATGCAGGGGAGTTTTTGGGCATTGGCGTCGACTCGTGCTCCACTAGTGGCTAGACATCCTCTTCTTCATGGAGCTCTCCCCCCCCCCACCCCCCTCCTCCTATGGCCAGCCTCAGATCTGGTCACGGGAAGATCCACGAGGAGGGTGGAAGCCGATACTACAGAAACACAAATAGGTGCCGGTTTAAGATCCGACACTTTTGAGGTTCCACGAATCAAAAAAAAATCCGGCTCGATGCATCGGCTAGTCACGACGAAGGAAACAAATGCGGATTTCTTTTTTCTCGGAAAATAAAACGAATAGAGTAAGGTACTATCCGTCGGAATGGGAAAACGTTCAGAAATTTTGTCCGGATATCCACATACATAGATCAAATTTTAGAAAAAGCACTTATATATACATAACATTTTCATACGGAGTCAGATGAAGATAAACTTTAGATCAAATTGTAGAGCTTGATGATATCTACAATTTCTTGTTGACTATTTTATTATTTGAGATCATTTTTGAGTCTAAATATTCATTATAAAATACCATATCTATTTTTACAAAACCTCATATCTCCAATTCAAACGACATCTAATGGAGATGTGTTCCATATCAAAATTGTAGAGCTCAATGAGATCTACCACTTGGTAGTTTATAACATTTGTATTTTAAAATGTTTAAAGTATAAAACAAACACTACAAGTTTTGAAGATGTGAAATAAAATAAATAACATCTCTAATTTATACAATAAGATCTTGATAAGTGATATGGTAAGTAAGCTATACATGTAGTAAAAGGTCGTGGGATTAAAAAATAAATAATCATATTTACATATATTTACATGTGAGTCTCTTAGGGGAATTGCCTTGAAAATCAATTTTCACATAAGGTTGTAGTACCGCCTCCGAAATTGTCGATATAAATGTTTGAGAGGATTTTTATATACCGACAAATATTTGTTGCCATATTCGTTCATTTCATATTCACTAGGTATCTTTATTTGATAATATTCGATTTGATTTCCGTATCCGGTTCTCGATTCTGATTCCAATTCCGAAAAAATCTAAAATCTAATATGATAAAGCTAGTTTCCGTCCGTTTCTGTTTCGTTTTCATCCCTACATACGTGCTTCTTCTGGCCGTATATAATGTGCCGTGCCTTGTTAATATAACCCCTGTTATCCAACGTGCGCATTAAAGCTATCTAAACTTGTGTTTCAGAAAAAACTCCAACATATATGCTTGATCAGGCAAGTCTAGTGTTGCAGCGTCCGGAGGCATTACTTTTAAAAATATCTGTTTGAAACTATATATTTGTTGCAACGTCATCTTTTGCAGCCTCCGTGCACTACAGGAGAATGCCTCTTCTCTCCCAGTTCGCAACCCCTGTAGTCCCGGGTTACAAACAGGGAGAAGAAATCTGACACTAAGGATGACGATCTTTAGTCCCAGTTTAAATACTAGGGAGTAAAGATGCATCTCTACTCCTGGTTGTTAACACCAACCGGGACTAAAGATAGCGACTAAAGATAGCGATCTTTAGTCCTGGTTGGTAACACCAACCGGGAGGAGAGATTTTTTTTTATTTTTTCTATTTGCTTGTGGATAATTGATTTTAGTTACTTGCACTTGTTTTTTCAGCCGAACTCATCCACAGATCATCTCCCGACATCCCAAATCATCCACAATCCCAAATCATTCACAACAACAAAATCATCATCCACAATCCCAAATCATCCACAACAACATATATAGCCAACAAAAAATCATCCACAAATTAAGAGGGAAAAAAAGGAAAAGAAAAAGAAAAACATCCGGCCGGCCGACCCTCCGCGTGCGCCCGGCCGCCTACCGCCCAGCAGCCGCCGCGACCCCTCTGTCACGCCCCTCCACGTGCGCCCTACCACCTGCCACCCGGCGGCCGCGCCTCCCTCAGCCGCCGCAAGCCCGCCCTGCTCGCTCGCCCACTGCCGCGTGCGAGAATAGAGAGAGGAAAGGGAAAGGATAAGAAAAGAGAGGAGGAGAATAAGGGAAGAGATGGTTGCTAGAGGATAAGTACGAGGAATTATATACTATGCACCGATTTTTAATTCCGGTTGGTGTTTCTAATCGGGAATAAAAAAAGTAGGGGGCAAACACTTTTTTAACCGGGACTATGTTTAGTCCCGGTTAGTGTGTTACCAACCGGGACTAAAGATCATAAAATGGTTATGGGCTTTTCAACCGAGGCTAAAGATGATTTTTAGTTATGATTCTTTTTGGAACCGGAATTATTGTGGTTTTCGTCCAACCCAGTAAAGATCGGTTCTTCAATAGTGGTGGTTGCTTGATCTCTGCTCTGTCTATCTCTCTCTCCGTGAACTTGTGACCTTGACCAAGAGAGGAGAGAGAGTGGAGATAGTTGTGGACAGATTTGAGCCCATTGGTGGTAGTTGAGGCGAATGGAGAACAGAGGATACACTTCTACTATTTACTAGTGCACTACCTTCGTGTTTGTTTTTTTACTGGTCAGAGACCCAGGTTTGCGTCGCCCACAGTCATCCGTCGTCATTTGCACGGCTCCAATCTTACCCGACATCACCTTCCTCGACTCTGCTCTGCGCGGCATAACCGGCATTGTTTATCGCTGTGTTGCATTGTGTGCTATTGGCCTGATCACAGTGCATGCCCATATGGCCATATGTGACAAGCCTTCGTAGGATGGAACATGTCTACTATGCCAAGCTTCGGGTTGCCGCTAGCTGCATGCGTCGTCCCCTTCGGACCGCCACTACAAGTTATGTGTGGCTTATATGACACAGGTTATAATGTCACTATATCATCTAATTTATGACATTTTATTTGAAGCATTTTAACTTAATGACAATAAAAAGTTGTGTGTCACAATAAGTGTCATATAGCTAGTCTAGTGTCATCCAGTGACAATATTTACTATGTCATAAGACCTATTTATGTGTCACAAATTATTTATTGTATTATTTTAAATATTTTTGTCCATGTAGGCAAGCCTTATTGCCACATCAGATTTTCTTTTCTCATTTTCAGATGGGCCAACCTGGTGCTAGCCCAACAGCCGCTTACCCGAAATGGGCCAACCCGTGCGCTAGGCCGAGCAGCCGCGCCTAACTCAGCAAAATGGCTAAAAAATGTTAGGAGTTAGGAGTCGAACCCGCAAGCTAAAAATTGTTGGGAGTTGCGTGAAAAAATTGTCAAAAACAAAGTTATATGACTTATCGAAATCTACCAATTTTATTTTAGTTATTTCTCCATCTGAGTTTGATTGATCTATATAAAATTTGAATTTTAAAATATAAGAAATTCAAATATATATTTTTTTGTGTAGTAAATGATTTCAAATGAAAAAATTGTCAACAAAAAATTTGTATAACTTATCAAGATCTACAACTTTTGTTTTGGTCATTTTGCTATATGACTTTGTTTCAATAATTTGAATTTGAATTTCAAATTATGACTACTTCAAACAATATTTTCAAATACTAAATGATTTCAACTGAAAAAGTCATCAATAACAAAGTTGTATAACTCATAAATATCTATAACTTTTATTTTGGTCATATCTTCATCTGGCAAAGTGATATTAACATTGTTCACAAAATTTACAAATCTCTCTTATAGTTTATAAAACCATATTAAAATTTTGTGAACAATCTTACTATCGCTTCGTCGAATGAACAAATGACCAAAATAAAAATTGTAGATTCAGATGGATTATACAACTTTGTTGTTGATGAATTTTTCAGTTGAAGTCGTTCACTAATAAAAAAATTCTATTTGAAGTTCTCAAACTTTGAATTTCAAATTCAAATTGTTCAAATAGAGTCAGATGGAGAAATGACAAAAATAAAAAATTTCCGTCTCGATGATTTATACAACTTTAGTTTTGGTGACTTTTCCATTTGAAATCATTTATTAACCCCAATTTTTATTCGAAATTATCAATTTTTGAAAATTCAAAATTTGTATTGTTCAAATGAACTTATTTGTAAAAAGGACTAATACAATAGTTGTAGATCTCGATTAGTTCTATAATTTTATTATTTATGATTTTTTCATTTGAAACAAAAAAAATCGACCTAAAATTACATTTAATGTTTTCATAAATTGAAATTAAAAAAAAAACATATGATCATTCCTGTTTCGGCCCAAATGGCCCAACTATTTCTGACCGTCCATCTTCGATCTAATGGTTCTGATCGCCGTCCCTAACCCTAGCCCTATATAAAACCCTCCTCTCCACCCCTCCTCTCTCTCTCTCTCTCCACCCTCAGCCGCCACACTCCCATCCATTCTCCTCTCCTTTCCTCTCCTCTCCTCTCCGGCGGTGGGTATCGGCGATGACAGCGTGCGGCGGCGTCCTCCTTCGCCGCTTACCACGCCGCCTCTATCTCCGCCGCCACCACGCTCGGGAGCGGTGGATCTGCTAGATCCCGGGCCTAGGGCGGCTAGATCGAGCGGCGGCAATCCCCGGGCGGCTCGAGGACGGCGTGCGGCTGCATCGACGGGCCCAACCGCTAGCCGATTCCAAACCACGTTGGCCACAGCATCCTCGCGCCGCCCGCTGACCACCCCCCCTTCCTCGTGCTCCTCCGCGCATAGCAGCAGCCGGGTCAGAGAGAGTGCCGACACGGCGTGGACGCGTCCGCAAATGCCAGTGCTGGTCCTCACGCTGATAGCTAGTAGGCCCATTAGGCTTGTTTAGTGTAAATGAGACCCAAATTTCCCCATCTGAGTCATCTGACCATCTCCTCCAACCTCCGCCAATCCCCATCCCCAATCCCCATCGGCGGACGGGGGCTGCTGTGGTGCGCGCCGCGCGGGAGGGCAGGGTGAGGTGAGGAGGGCGCGGCCACCAGGCTTCCAGAGCTGCGGCTGTGGCATCTGCTCCGGCAAGGCGGCAGCACGACCAGCCGCCATGGCCCAAATGGGCAGGCGCGCAGCGCAGGAAGAGCAGAGACAGAGGCAGGGTGGGATGAATGGCACAACAGCAGTGCAGGCGTGCAGCACCCAGCGACGACAGCAAGCAAGCGACAAGCCAACAAGCCAAGCATCCATCACTCCATCAACAGGTGCCTACATATGTGAACATTAATCAATCTTTGGTACTATATCTATCTATACTCAGTACTGTACTTCCTATTTGTGATGTATTGTTGAAAGCATGAATCTTAGGAAGTTGAGGTATTTTTTGAGTACCTACTCTTCTATCTAGTTTACAAATAGATGATGAATCATCAACTTATAATTAGTTCTTGTTTACCGTGCTTAATGTAGACTTGTTGTGATAATATTGCATCGTATAATAACATGCATTGAGATTTTTCGTTATGTGCTAACTTCTGTGGTAATTCGTAGGCCACACCTAAAATTTTTTCCGTCCTCCGCCACTGGTGTGGCTGTGATGCATCAAGCGCCGGTGGTTGATATGGCCGAGACTTCTGTGCCGAATCTTGGCATGAAGCCCAAGATCTCTGAACGGACAAGCAACACCAAGGCCACAATGGGCACAAGGTGAGCTTGTTTATTTCTTGTATTAAAGAAAGCTGAACGGTTCTGCTCGTTCATAGCTTGATGTCACATTCCTTTTAATCTTAGAGCAAGAGATGCTTTTGTATGATTAAGGATGAATCTGGATTCGATTTTGTATGGAATAACTCTTCATTTTTGTGTGCAATATGTGGACTAAGGCTAAGGCTAAATAATACTTTTGATTAAGGATGAATCCTTACGGATGCTGCCGTCATGCACGTTGTCCACCTGTGCGTTGTCATGCGGCAGATAAACGGGCTGGAGCAGCAATACGTATGAACATAAGGTATTTGCTATAATCGTAGGCTTTAGTCCAGACATGATAATTTTGTTGTTGTCCTGAAATTTATTATCTTTATTTTATAGTTGCTGCTCATACAATACATGTGAGGATTCTACCATTAAATGCACAATGACCCAATTTGAGGATCAGTTTAGCACTATAAAACCTGATGGGATTCAAGTCAGATGCCGTAAGGTACTTGTTCTTTTTTGCACTGGACTTCGGACAACTCTGTCTGTTTCTATCAATGAAACTGCGGCCAATGTTTTCTAACGTAAATGCAATGCCCCGCGGGGGTTTACTTGAGTCTACTAAATTTTGCTTACTCATGTATTATAGGATTCATAGATACATTATGCCACTGGGGTACATGTAATTCAAGTACAATAAGAAACTACTCAATTGTTTGGCAGCAATTTTGCATCATCAGATGCTGAATAGTAAGCACTCCTACTCAATTAGGTTCCAGATGATATTTTGGTGACACTGAACTTGCGACCATTGTGCTTGTGGGATGTTATTTAGGTGCTGCTGTGCTTCTGGCCGTTGTGCTGTTGCTGCTGTGCTTTTGGCCATTGCGCTACTGCTGCTGTGATGCTATTGCAGATGTGCTGCTGTTGCTCTCGCAGTAGCAGGAATATGAAATTTGAGAGTTTGGATATGTACTGAATTGGTGGATGGATGTAATGATATTGCATTTCAAGACTTCTGGAATGTGAAATGCATGTGACATTGCAATCATTTGTGGAATGTTAATTCATTTGAATCTGATTTTGTATGTGCTGAAATATAGTATCTGGGCTGAATTGTATGGGCTGAAAAAATATCAGTTGAGCTTTGTGGGCTGAAAAAATTATTTGGGCTGGAAAAATATATGGGCTAAATTGTGGGGGTGGAAAAATCATATGGGCTGAATTGTGCGGGTTGGAAAAATCATATGGGCCGAATTGGTGTGGGTTGAAAATTTGTACAGGCTGCATTCATAAACAAACAAGCAAAAAATATACTGGGCCAGCTAGCAACAACCCCAGAAAAAATATATTTGTGGCCCATGAGCTACATGGGCTTTAGCAGGCCGAATCTTATTTTGTGACTTTTTTTTTAACCATGTCAACTGTTATGTCAGCTGCCACGTGGCAAGCCCCAGGATTTTATGACAATAAAGCATTGTCAAATGCTTGTGACAATAAATGTACAAACGTCACATACTAAATTTATGACGTGGCTTTTTGACGTTTGGAATTACGTCAACTGATTTCATATATTATGACATAATAAAATGTTAAAAATCCACACACCTCTTATAGTGCGTGGTATCGCTGCTCATGCTTACTTGGCACTGCATCTACATGAAACTGTTGTTGTGGCCCCTTTGGCGATAGCATCACCACTCTCGTCAGACTTTCACCATCATCAACTTTTATCCAATACCCCAAATCACAAATATACCGGCCGATGCATTAAGAACCGGTACTAAAGCTATTTATAATCGGTTCTAAAAGCCTAGGTACCTAGAAATATATATCTTTAGCCCCAGTTGGTGTTACCAACTGATATTAAAAATACATCTTTAGAACCGGTTTGCAGCACCAACCGGTACTAATTTTTGTGGATCTTTAGTCTTGGTTACTGTTATCCGATACTAAAGATATTTTTAGCACTGGTTGATAATATCAATCGGGACTAAAGATATTTTTAATACAAGTTGGTTGTTACCAACCAGTACTAAAAATGCCTCTAGAGTTAGTTCAAAATGAAAATACCTTTATCCAAGTTAAACGTGTGGAGTAGGTAAGATGGTAACACAGATAATGGTTGAGATGCGAGATCTTAAGTTCGAATCCCACATCCTATATATTTTTTATTTAGTATGCATCTTTAGATCTTAAGTCTCGGTTACTATAACCGAGATTAAAAAGAGTTTAGAATCGGTATTAAAGATCATTTCTCTAGTGTGTGGATTGGTTATAAGTTTTACGCTTTCTTTAACCACTCTTATTTATTGTAGTCTATTAGGGATTATGGAATATCAAAGTTCTGGATACATGTGTAGCTCACGATTCAATGACAAACATAGTTGTCGGCAAGAATTCTTAGAGTGTGTTTTCAGGTCAAAAATTAAAAGTTTGGTTGAAATTGGAACGAAGTGACGGAAAAGTTGGAGGTTTATATGTGTAGAAAAGTTTTGATGTGATGAAAAAAATTGAAAATTTGAAGAAAAAATTTGGAACTAAACAAGGCCTTAATTTGCAAGGAAAATTTACAATGTGAGCTACCTCCACCAGATGAATCAAATAGGTCCCCGTTATCTACATGTGCATTTTGCCTATATTTTTCCCGCATTTCCCCAACTGCTCTTATTCAAGCCAGTTTATTAGCTAATTTGGTGGAATATCAATTATAGTATGGTACGTCGAACTTTGTAAGATGTGAAGAACTTGTCAAAGTTCTGGGTAGGTGTGTACTCGCTGAAGATGCCATTGTCTCCGGGTATCACTACTTGCAAGGACAAATGACAATTAATTGATGAGCTACCGCCACATGATTTTAACGCATGTTTTCAAACCTCTCTTCGTCGTTGTTTATTACGGAATTCTAGGAATCTCAAAGTTCTGGATAGATGTGAACGTACGTAGCTCTCAAGATTCCATTGCTTAAAAAACAGGGTTATATATGCAAGAATCCTTTGCACGTTACCCAGATGCGCAATGCCTATATATATTTATTACGCATTTCTTCAACTGCTCATATTCAAGGTAGTTTATTAGCCAATTTGAGATAATATCAGTGATAGTATGGCAGCTCGAACTTTGTAAAATGGGAACAACTTGTCAGAGTTTTGGGTAGATGTCTAGGTCGAACAAGATTCAATTTGTTTCACAAATACGAATCGGATTCTTTATTAGTTTTTACGAAATTGATAATACACAATTCTGAAATTACGGACTTTCCATTTTTAATTTGAAATAACTAATTTAATTTGAAATTTTGAAACCACAAATGTGAAGTTGTAACTAACGTGTGCGCTTCTTTTAGCTAGAGTCAGTATAATAAAAAAAATATAAAACCTACATATTTAAGCTATGATTAAAATTTAAAATATATCTCTATACTCTATAATACCCGTGCATCGTACGGGTTAGCGGCTAGTGTAACTAATGCATGGGCTTTGGACCATGTGTAGAGCTATATTTTGCATGAAAACTTGCACTTCTCTCTTTTTTTTTATATATATCTCCTTTCTACCTAAGCTATAGTTGGCTTATACTCTCACTGGAAAGTTGACGTGCAACTTTTATAACTTTTACTACCTCCGTCTCAAAATGTGGATAGGTCTTATCTCATTCTAAGTTACTAGACGGGGGAGAAGTACATTGTTTTTTTCTATTATAATATATAAAATAAATAAATATTTTTTTACTTTTAGTACGGTACTTTTTTTCTATTATATATATATATATATATATATAGACACACACACATTATCCTATTGTATTTAAACAATGACATGCTCTTTAAAATATATGTTTGACTATGTATAGTCAATGATATATTTTGAAGACCATATCATTATTCAAAACGTCATAATTAACCGGAGGGAGTTGCCAACTATTAAAATTGCTCTTAGGCAACTTGGAATATCAAACGATGCAAAATGTGAAGATCTTGTTAATGTTCTGGGTAGATGTGTAGCTCAAGATACCATTTGTTTAACAAATATAGTTATCTGGAGGAATACTTTCCTAGGACAACTTACAACTAATCTTGTTACTCCCACTCGATTGGATCATATAGCTTCCGGTTATCAACATGTGCGTTGGCTATATCTTTTTACGTGTTTCTTCAACCACTCTTATTTAAGGGAGTTTATGAGGCAATTTGATGTAATATCTGTTGGCGGATGGCATGAGGCTCTTCAACCAAACCTGCCGAAACCCATGGCGAAGGCTATAGAGCAAGAACGGCGCAAGGCGAAGAGTCGTACAAGCGCCAGGCCAGAGGCGTCTCAGACGAAGGGTGCAAGGCGAAGACTATCTGCCGAAGGAGGATGACTTCGTCTTGACAAGTTCGCCCCTGCGAGGGCCGAGGAAGCCTTTTTGGCCCATCAGGCCGGCGATCGCCAGACGGCCCATCAGGGGCCCATGAGCCCCTATAACATTATGTACCCCTGTAAATGCCTCTTTGGTAAGGGTAATCATGTAAATTCCCCTGTACAACCTAAACCCTAGTAATAAGAACCTGTAATGGGGCTATAAATAGTCCCCTAGGGCCATGTAATGGGGGATCCCCAAGGGAAATTCAAAATTTAGTACACTTCATTTTTCCAACCATTGTTGAGTAACCACGTCTTTCGACGTATGCAGTTGTCGTTTTGACAACAGCTGGTGCCGACCGTGGGGACTCCGAGCGAAACCACTGAGAGCGAATGCCACCGAAGAGGGTCGTGAAGGAGAAGGTTATCAGGCGGAAGGAGAGCGACGCCGGACCGGACATGGCTGCCGAAGAAGGAGCAGAGCCTTCGGCGTCCGTGGCCGAAGATGGAGAAGCACAAGCGCCATCACAACCGCCTTCGGCCCCCGCGCCATCAGAACCGTCTTCGGCCCCCGCAACGTCAGTGCAAGTGCCGAACACGGCCGACGTGGCGAAGGCGGCTACGGCGGAAGGGCACTCCAGACTAGGGCGGAGATCCTTTCGACAAACCAACTGGTGGTGCCCCAAGCCGCCCCATCGCAGCCGGCGGCGGCCCCAACTGCGCTCACCGTTATACAGGCCCAAATCAGCCTGGACCCCGAAGCGCAAGCTGAAGCCGACATGGAAGCCATGCGGCAGAACATGACACGGCTCCAAGACATGCTTCGCCAAATGCAAGAACAACAACAAGCATACGAGGCGGCAAGGCGGACCAAGGCCACGTCGGCTCTAATCCTTCAGTATTCGGCAGGCTATGCCCCACCTCAAGTCCGGCCGCAAGTGGTGACCCAGCCCTCTCCGCCACTAGCCACACAGGCGCCGGTGAACTTCGCCGGGCAGCATCAACCACCTGGCCAAGCGCCACAATCAGTGGCGGAAGGGGCTTCGGCTCTGCAGGCGCAACTCCAAGCTTTCCTTCAGCAACTCAACCAACCCCACTACATTTCAAGCACAACCCCATCGGCTCACCCGGTGGGGAATACAAGTCATGGTGCGCCCAATTGATTGCCACCAATTCAGCCAGGCTTGGAAGCTTCGCCGTGGAATCAAGGACCGCAGTTCGACTTCGTCAACACTGCTCAGGTGCCAACTGTTCGGCAGCAAGTTCCAACTCTAGGCTTCGGAACAAACCAAGCACCAATCCATGCTGCCATGATGTGGTTGCAGCCAATTTTTGACCCATCCGTGGCGGCTCAGCAAGTACCACCAGTTGGGCCAGTCTGCTTGAGGGCGAACTAACAAGAAAAATCGCCAACAAGGAGCCGCAGATGCTCGAGCACCTACTTCGCATCATTGACGGGTTCACAAGGAGTGAGGAGGATTCTAAACGACGACAAGCTATACGTCGCCGCTGCTCAAGCTCAAGCACAAGTTCAAGTTGCCGAACCACCTCCCCTCTCTGTTCGCCAGTCTCAGCCGGCGATCCAGGGACAGCCGCCAAGGCAAGGCCAAGCCCCCATGACTTGGAGAAAGTTCAGAACAGATCGGGCGGGCAAGGCTGTGATGGCTGTCGAAGAAGTGCAAGCCCTCCGCAAAGAGTTCGACGCCCAGCAAGCAAGCAACCATCAGCAGCCAGCCCGCAAGAAGGTCCGAAAAG